CAGATACTAATATACAACAGCTCTTCCAAAGATGAGGGGGTGACGGTGGGGGGAAAGCATGAATAAAGTTTATAAACTTTATTACTTATTTAATTTTTTTAAAGTTTATTTTATTTCATTTTTAGAGAGACAGAGAGAATGTGAGTAGGGGAGGGGCAGAGAGAGAGGGAGACAGAGAATCCAAAGCAGGCTTCGTACTGTCAGCTAGGAGCTTGATGTGGGGCTCGAACTCACAGCATCGTGAGATCATGACCTGAGCTGAAACCAGGAGTCAGAAGCTTAACCAACTGAGCCACCAGGTGCCGTGAAGAAAGTTTATAAACTTTAAATCAGACCTAAAGTATCAAGTTGACTGAAGAATCTTTGAAATCAAATTTAATAAACTTCAGCCTCACAAGTATATCTACTACCAAATGCTGTGTTTATAAAATAAGTATTTGTTCAGCTGATATATTTCCTCATCTAAATAGGAACACTTACAAAAGTATAATTTTCATATACTTTATAAAGGCCTTAATTATATTAATGGATTACATAATAATATAGTTTATTAAGTGAAGAGTTTGAGAGAAAATGGTTAATGGAGGATAATTTTTTAAATTAAGTTATTTAAATTCAAGTTAGTTAACATATAGTGTAGTTTTGGTTTCAGGAGTAGAACCCAGTGATTCATCACTTACATATGACACCCAGTGCTCATCCCAACAAGTCTCCTTAAGGCCCATCACCCCACCCCCTTCCCCTCCAGCAACCTTCAGTTTGTTTTCTTTAGGAGTCTCTTATGGCTTGCCTCCCTCTCTGTTTTTATCTCATTTTTCCTTCTACAGGAAACAATTTTATTCACAAGAGAGTAATGTTAATTGGAAGAGTTTGTCCAAAGAAATATGAAATACCAAAATATTTGACAGAGTTCTCCCCCTAGTGGAACTTGAAAATGAATGAAAATATTTCCATGACTAAGAATAACCTAAAATGTATTATTCTTTTTTTTTTTTAAATGTATTATTCTTATAATTGAAAAAGGAGTTTTAGATTTTAGCAAGAGGTCTATTCATGGATCTTAACATGCATGTTAAGTAAATGCATGAAAGCTGAATCATCAAGATGTTGAAAAAAAATTTACTGAATGTATTAAGAGTGAGCTAGCCATGGAGAACTGAGGAAGAAGAAACACCTTAAAAGTAGAGGACTGGCGGTACAAAGAAACAGCAATTTAGGAAGACACAGTAGTTTGCAGAATGGTACAGAATTTTGAAAGAATGTGAAAATTTTGAAAAGTGTGTGTACGTGTAGCGCGTAGAGAGGGAAGACAGAGAGGTGATGGTGAGAGATGAGACAGTAAATGCAGATTTGGGCAATAATGAAAAGGTAAGCATTTTATGCTGAGGAATTTTGGTATGATTTGCTAGGTAAAACACAATCAATAAACGTTTTTATGTTTTAGAAAGCTAATTCTGATAGTTCTGTGGAAGAGCTGAGGCTGAAGAAGAGTACTGGCTAGGAAGTTACTATAAGAATTAAGATAAGGCTGGGGACAGAAGAATTCAAGGAATGGCTGGGGGAAAAGAAAGGCTAAGAAAGATGAAAAGAAAAGTTCCTGAAAATAAAATTACCTTTGATTTAGTTTTATATTTACTCAGGACGTTTCTCTTTTGAAGGAACTGAAGAGTTGGGCAAGACATGTCAGTCTGTATGAGTTATTAAAAATGATCTGAAAGCCAATCTACAAGAGTAGGTGAGTAGGTAAAATGTTGGTAGAAATGTTAACTAGCACAAGCATTTTGAAAAATAATTAGGTATTATCTAGTAAAGCTGAAAGTTTATATACTCTATATATAGCCTTGATGTAGAGAGAGAAGAAACACATAAGTGAAGTTCCTACGAGGTTGAACAATTCAATAAGAGAGGATATAACTAATCAAGATTTGAGATACAGGGGCGCCTGAGTGGCTGAGTTGGTTAAGCATCCAACTCTTGTTTTTTGGCTCAGGTCATGATCTCACAGTTTGTGAGACAGAGCCCCATATCAAGCTCTGCTCTGACGGTGTGGAGCCTGCTTGGGATTCTCTCTCTCTGCCTGTCCCCTGCTCATGCTCTCTCTCTTGCTCAAAATAAATAAATAAACTTAAAAAAAAAAAAAGACAATAAAAAAAGATGGGGGGGGATGAAATAGGAACACATATAGTTTTAAACATGTTGAACCTGAAATGCCTATCCAACTTCCAGCTGGAGTGGTCTGTCCATTAAAACTATTAGTAAACTTGTCAAAAGATACAATAAGTTAAACAAAACAACAATGAAAGACAAGTCAGAGCAGGAGTAGGTGTTTGCAAAACATAACCTCAATAAATAAAAAACTACACATCCAAAGAAAAAGACAGACAACTCAATAGAAAAATATATACAAAAAGACTTTAGCAAGCACTTTATAAAAGGGGAAATCTAAGTGTCCAACATCATTAGCAATCAGGTAAATGGCAATTAAAACCATGACAAAATACCACTGCAGAACTATCAGAAAGGCACAAGTTAAAACATCTTTCACCAACCACCAAGTGTTGGGGAGGATATGGAACAAGCAAGAACTTTCATCTGCTGCTGCTGGGAGTTTAAACTGGTACAAGCACTTTGGAAAATAAAGTTGAAGATTTGCATGCTCTGTGACACAACTATTCCACACTTTGGTATACATGCTAGAAAAATGTACATGTGGTCAGTATAGTGTACAAGATTGCTCATAATCACAGAATTGTTCAAAAACAGTCCCAATTTGGAAACTCCAAAATGACCACTAATACTAGAATGGAGATACATCGTGATGTTTTCATAAAATGGAACATGTACAACAATAAAAATGATTACTCTTACTAAAATAATGTTGAACAAAGAAGAGACAAAAATTAAAATATTCAATAAGACTCTATTCAAAATTTAGAAACAGGGAAAGTTAAACTGTACAGAGAGGCATATAAAGATGACACAATTGTAAGGAAAAGCAAAGGACCAACTGCCAAAAAACTCAAGCTAAGGGAGTAGGGTATGTCTAGGTAGACTTCTGGGGTATGGGTAATATTCTCTATTTCGACCTGAACAGTGATTATATGGGTAATGTGTTTACCCATATTATGATGTAGCTTTGGATTATGAACTTCTCTATATACTGTGTTAGTAATTTTTAAAATGTTTTTTAAAAAAAGGTTTAAAAATTATTGGTGAGGGGAAACATGCTATGCCTGGAGTTACATTAGTATTTGTTGTGGTATAAGATAGCTCCTGAATGGGGCGTCTGGGTGGCTCAGTCAGTTAAGCGTCCGACTTCGGCTCTGGTCACGATCTCACGGTTAGGTTCATGGGTTTGAGCCCTGCGTCGGGCTCCATGCTGACATCTAGCTTGGAGCCTGGAGCCTGTTTTGGATTCTGTGTCTCGCTCTCTCTCTGACCCTCCCCTGCTCATGCTGTCTCTCTCTCAGAAATAAATAAAACATTGGGAAAAAAAAAAAAAAAAGATAGCTCCTGAAGCCATGTGAGTGAGACCCTTCATTTGAGCACAGCTTTCAAAAAACCAAACACTTGGATTTTTCAGAGGAATACAAACATTGAGAACTGATAGGAAGACTGAGAAACAATAAACAAGAAAGAAGAGAGGCAAAAGTATAGGAAAGCCAAGAGAGGAGAGAATATAAAGAGGATGACTGGCCAACAATGACATATGAAATAAACTCAAGCAGGATAAATACTGAAAAAATACCAGTGAATTTAGCAATTAGGATGCCAGTGATTATTTAATCAAAAGCCATTTGATGCCAACATACTCCTGATGGTAAAAATTTCATGCGTTTCCTTTACTATTTTTCAAAATGATGTTATATTTCATTTTAAACAAAACATGCCACATATCAGGCTCTTCATTTTAATAAGAATTTCAGAATAAATAAAAAGTGATATAAATCTTGCTGTTTGTGACTAAGACGTCATGCTGTGATAGCATGATTTAAGTGGCTGATTACAAATATGCAGTCAGTTCATGTTTAAAGTTTTCCTGCATATGTGCTCCTTTACAGGGAATATTACCAACAAAACACAAAAGCTATCTTTTTATAAACTTCCACAAATCATAATGTGTTTTTGATCACCACTTCACACTGATCAGGATGGCTATTATAAAAAAACAAACAAGCAACAAAAAAATCCCCAGAAAACTGATAAGTGTTGGTGAGGATGTGGTGAAATAAGAGCCTTGTGTGTTGGCTAGTGAGAATGTAAAATACTGCAGCTGCTGTGGCAAATAGTACAGCAATTCCTTAAAAAGTTAAATACAAAATTATCACGTGATCCATCAATCCCACTTCTGGGTAAATCCCGCAGAAATGACAGCAGGGATTCAAACAGATGTGCAGAACCATGTTCACAGCAGTATTAATCACAAAAGGAGGAAGCAATCCAGATGTTCACCAATGGATAAATAAACAAAATGTGGTATACACAGTCAACAGAATATTACTCAGTCTTAAAAAGGAAATACATTTTTTCACATACAACATGGATAAACCTTGATGACATATGCTAAGTGAAATAAGCCAGACACAAAAAGACAAATACTGTATCATCTTCCTTATATGAGGTACCTACAATAGTCTAATTCAGATATGAAAAGCAGAATGGTGGTTTCCGGGGGTCTGGGTAAGAAAGGTATTAGGGGATGTTCAATAGGTAGACTTTCAGTTTTGCAAGATGAAAAGAGTTCTGGAGACTGGTTACAGAGCAATGTGAATGTATTTAGTGTCACAGAACTGTATACTTTAAAAGAGTAAATTTAAAGGAGTAAATTTTATGTTAAATGTATTTTACCACAACAAAAAAATGGACTTAGAAATGAACAAGTGTTGAAAATAACAATCACAGTTATTAGGAGGAAGATGTAAATGGTGTAGGATATGTGCAGAGGGAAGAAGAAACTATTGCATTATTTTTAGGTGTACTTTATTATTTTCATATAGTACCTGGATTTCCAGCTCAGCAATGTGCTGCTGTAATTCAGCCACAGCAGCTATGCTATCTGCTTCCCGGAGTCTCACAGCCATCACTTCTTCCTTGTTCTAGGGGAACAAACAAAAATAAACCATGTAATAAACCAAAAATAAAACACATAAACACTTGTAATCTCCTTCAAATTTTAATAATAATAGATTAAATGAGAGAAAAAAATGCCACTATCACTTGAACTTGATATAAAAATGAAGCCTGACCATATACAAAAGCATTCCATCTTTAAGCATTAAGAAACACCATTCATGGGGTGCCTGGGTGGCTCAGTAGGTTAACTGTCCAACTTCGGCTCAGGTCATGATCTCGGGGTTTGTGGGTTGGAGCCCTGCGTCAGTCTCTGTGCTGACAGCTCAGAGCCTGGAGCCTGCTTTGGATTCTGTCTCCCTCTCTCTCTGCCCGTCACTGGTTGGTGCATTCTCTCTCTCTCTCTCTCTCAAATAAATTAAAATAAACACCACTCATATAAATAAACATTGCATAAAATGTTAAAATAAAAATGAACTTAATTAATTAAAAATTCAAATCACTGGTGACTGCGAAAGCTGCTCATTTTTTGCGTAAGAACAAATATTGGGGGGTGCCTGGGTGGCTCAGTCAGTTAAGCATCTGACTTTGGCTCAGGTCATAATCTCACAGTTTGTGGGTTTGAGCCCTGCATTGGACTCTGTGCTCACAGCTCAGAACCTGGAGCCTGCTTTGAATTCTATGCCTCCTTTCCCTCTCTTTCTGGCTCTCCCTTGCCTGCACTCTGTCTCTCTCCTTCTCTCAAAAATAAACATTAAAAAAAAGTTTTTTAAAAAAAGAACAAATATTGAAAACTTTCTTATACTTAACGAGGACAACAGATTAACAGACAATATAGATGCTGAGAGAGTATATTAGCTAGATAATACTTAAAAATTATATTCTTTCTGAGGGAATAAATGTCAATGAATTTTTACATTCTACTAAAAGAGAATAGAAATTAGATTATATCATAATTCTAACCTTCCTAGGAAAAGTATAATATTTATCTCTACCACCTCAAAATTTCACAGAGAAAAATTCCAAAACTGTATTCTACAATATCCATGCCAAATTATACTGATCCAGAAATAACAAAATATAAAGAAAATATGTTAGAGAAAAAAAGAATATACGAAAATATTTAGCCCCTCCATTTAGTTCAGTTGCAATTTAGCAACCATTAGCATAAAAAATGTACAGCATGATGACCTTAGGAGAAATTTAGCACCAATCACATGTGAGAGTCAACTAAAACACCTTATCTGGTAACTTCAGTTTAGCCTTCAGGTGACTGCAGCCTCATAAGAGACTCTAAACCAGAACCACTTGGCTAAGTTGCTCCTGAATTTCTGACTCAAAGAAACTCTAGGATATTAGTGTTTATTGTTATTTTAAGCCACTAAGCTTTAGAAGTAATTTTTAAAAAAAATAATAGATAGGGGCACCTGGGTGGCTCAGTAGGTTAAGCATCTAACTTTTCATTTCAGCTCAGGTCATGATCTTATGGTTCATGGGATGGAGCCCCTCATCAGTTGTCTGTGCTGATAAGCATGGAACCTGCTTGGGATTCTCTCTCTCCCCCTCTCTCTCTCTGTCACTCCCCTGCCTGCATGCATTCTCTCTCTTTCTCTCAAAATAAACATTAAAAAATAGTAATAGAGAACTACTATATTTACATTCTAATTTTAATTAACAATTTATAAAAATTAAACTAATCAAGTAAAATTTTATATAAATTATGTTATATATTTATACATTATACATTTATATGTTATACATTTAACTATGTAAATTTCATAGTTAATGAAATAGATAATACTATATATTATGAATGTAACATAATTAATCATGTAAATTTCAAATATATATTATAAATTATACAGAATTATGTTAATCAAGTTAAAAACCCAAAATTTCCCCTAATCTTCCCCCCTCTAGTCTAATCACTGAGGCTTATTGGTTCTCTATAAAAATAGATTGTGAATTTATCTACTTCTCTTTGTTTAAATGCTAATATCTGGGCCTAAGCTAGCACCTCTGTCCTGTACAATTTCTCATATCACATCTCTCTGCAACTTTACCTTAAACCTACCTCCACACACAGTGACATGTGCATTCTTTTAAAAAATAACTTCATTAATTGCTACAAGCATTATCCCCTAATAAATGCTAAAATTAGTTGCTGAAACTTTAAGCATATTTGCAAAGCCTTAAAATAGTTCCCCTCAAATATTTATTAATTACTGTGGTGGTTTTAATATATACCCACAAATTCTTTAATACTTTTTCCTTGAGGAGGTATGGCTTAACACCCCTGTCTGCTGTCACATTGCGGGCTGGACTTAGTAACTTGCTTATAATGAACAGAGTGTAAGAGGAAAAAAGTTCTATAGTGAAGAAAGCTGACAGACACCAACTTAAATGACCAAGTTAACAGCACGAACCCTAACATAAATTAATACGAAGCATCTTCTGATATGACATGCTAAGTAGGACACTTCAACTCTTTATTCCTTCCTCGAATATTCCTCAGTCTAATCAGGAATATCCCAAACTGAGGGAAATTCTACAAAATACCTGACCAGTATTCTTCGATAGTCAATGTCAGGAAAGGTAAGAAAGCATTAAGAAACTGTCACAGATTGGAAGAGACGGAGACATAATGAGGAAATCTGAATAAAGTCTACAGTTTAGTAATATCATTGTACCATCATCCATTTCTTAGTACTGATAAATATACCATGTTAGATGTTAACATGTAAGATGTCAACATTAGGAGAAGCTGATTAAAAGGCATATTGTAACTCTCTGTATGTACTATTTTTGTTGCTTTTGTGTAAACATAAAAATATTTCAAAATTAACAGTTAAGAAACCTGAAGCAAATATAGCAAAACAGAAAAAAAAAGTCAGTTGATTTCCTGCTTAAAACCTTTCAGTGGCCTCCCACAGCATTTAAGAGTAAAACCCAAACTCATTACCACAGGCTCTAAAATTTTACATGGTAAGAAGTGGAATCCCAAACTGCTTCTCTGGCTTTATTTCATTAGCTTTTCACTTTATTCAAGTCTCAGCAACCAAGTTCTTTCGTGATTTTGGATCTTAAACTCTGTGACCATTTTCATGTGAGGATCTTCCCCTGGCTCTTCATATGGCTGCTTCTTTCCTATTCTTCATGTCCCAGCTTTGATACCAACTCCTAGCACTCCATCTTTATTGCCAATTCTCCTTACCTCCCACTTTATAGTACATCATTAGTAATAATCTTAATATAATTTTACCCACTGTCTCACTAAACATTGTGTCTACTTCCTCACTACTGAATCTCCAGTACCTACAAGACTGACTAATAAAAGCTGCCCAAGTATTTGACAAATACGTAAATAAATACCATCCTTCTTTGAAGACTCATAATCTCACCTCCTACCAACCCTATTTGAGAATCACTGTCCTAAAAATTGCAAATTGCATCTATTTAGAATGAAAAGCCTGGCTATATACTTTGTAAGTAACACAATAGAGAAACAGGTACTATCATGCCCTGCTAGTCAAAGTACAAAATGGTACAAACCTCAGGAATGTAATCTGACAAAATCTATTACAGTACAAATGTATTTACCCATTGACCAAAGAATCAAATTTATAGGAACACATAGATATACCTCTATAGGAATATGCAGATATAACTCTGTGTGTCTGAAATTATCTATGTACAAAGTTATTCACTATTCAGTGCCCTGTGGCAGCAAAACACTGGGAACAATCCATGTGCACATCAATAAAGACCCTAGTTAAGTATACTATAGCACATCCACACAATGGTAAACAATGTACCTTAGAAACAAATAAGAAGAAGAGAACTCTAGATGCTGGCGAGGATGTGGAGAAACAGGCACCCTCCTACACTGTTGGTGGGAATGTAAACTGGTACAGCCCCTCTGGAAAACAGTGTGGAGGTTCCTCAGGAAACTAACAATAGAACTCCCCTATGACCCAGCAATAGCACTGCTAGGAATTTACCCAAGGGATATAGAAATGCTGATGCATAGGAGCACATGGACCCCAATGTTCACAGCAGCACTCTCCACAATAGCTAAAACATGGAAAGAGCCTAAGTGTCCATCAACGGACGAATGGATCAAGAAGATGTGGTTTATCTATACCATGGAATACTACATGGCAATGAGAAACAATGAAATCTAGCCATGTGTAGCAACATGGATGGACCTTGAGGGTGTTATGCTGAGCGAAATAAGTCAGGCAGAGAAGGACAAATATCATATGTTTGCACGTATAGGAGGATTAGGAGGAACTTAACTGAGGAACAAGGGGGAGAAGAAGGGGGGAAATGGTGGGGGAAAGGGAGAGAGGCAAACCATGAGAGACTCTTGAATGCTGACAAAAACTGAGGACTGATGGATGTGGGGGGGAGGGGGGATGGGCATGGAGGAGGGCACTTGTGGCGATGAGCACTGAGTGTTATGTGGAAACTAATTTGACAATAAACTATTTGTAAAAATAAATTAATTAAAAAAATAAAATTTAAAAAATTTAAAAAAAAGAAACAAATGAGAAGATTCTTCAAGCACTGCTATTGAAAGCTCTCTAAAATATAGCAACAAAAAATAAAAATAAAAAAGAAGAGCATACAGTATGCTAACTTTCATGTAAGAAAGTGAAAACAAAAATTAATATTTTTACTTGTTAGTAATTGCCTAAAAGAAACTCTAAAAGGACATTTCAGAAAATAATAAAAGCAGTTACCTAACAAAAAGTAAAAGGGGTATGTGGCAGAGTCAGAAAGAGAATGAGATAAAAGGGGACAAAATGAGAGCAATGTTTTGATTTATAATCAGTTAAACAATCAAAGCATTTTGAAAAAAAATGTATATGTATTAACCTAGCAAAATTTATATTACATATAAGCAACAGGTTTATTTTCTTCCTGTTACTTCCTATCATTATTCCATATAGGAACAGTGTTATAATCACAGTAAAATCCTTTGACTTTACTCACTTAAAATTTCTTATCATACAATTTTATAAGTTTATAAATTAATTAATACATCTTTTCTTATGGACATACACACATCTATATCTGTATATCTCTCTATATATGTAGAACCAGAAAATATAAATCTTTCTATAATCTTCAAATTTGTATTTATGTGGGAAACTCCATAATCTTCTTACCAAAATATTGGGCTCTAGGTGTGTCTTGGAATTTCAGATTTTTTTATATTTTAGAAAAGTAATAAGGTGCATAAACCATACCTTAGTTATCTAATGGCAGCATCCATAACAAAACTGTATGCTCAGTGTTAAACACAATGAAACAGTAAAGTATAAAAATCCAAACCAAGTGGGATAAAATAAAAGCTATAAATGATTAAATCATCCAAATGAATGTGTGTGAAATTTATGAGAAAATGTTTGGGTTTCAGAATGTTTTGAATTTTCATATTGGAGATCACAGACTCATATTAGTTTCATCTTTAAGTGGGAATATTCAAATTCACTTATATAGAAAAAATAACATTAATATTAAAAACAGTATCCTAATATTTTACATAAATAAAAAATAAAATGAACCTTAATAATTATTTATCAATAAATTATAAGCTATAATCATGTAAAACTAAATGAAATTTAACCAGGGACGCCTGGGGTGGCTCAGTCAGTTGAGCATCCGACTCTTGATTTTGGTCCAGATCATGATCTCACAGTTTCGAGAATTTGTGCACCTTGTAGGGCTCTGCACTAACAGGGCACAGCCTATTTGGGATTCTCCCTCTCTCTCTGCCCCTTCCCCAGTCACACTAAATGAAAATTAATCACATGTATACAATGAAAGGACTAGCTTCCTTGAAAAAGTTAGGTTTATTCTGGAACTATTCCAATATAACAAGGTAAAACATATATACTTAATTAGAAAGTACTAGGTCCTAGGGTAAAAACACACTAGTCATTCTCAAAATCTACAAAAGGTATTACAAAAGAATGAATAAATCAATATGCAGTGTAAACACAGGGGGAGATAGGGGAATCAGCATCTGTAACATATTTTACAGATTTATTAATGAGCAGTTAAAGATAAACAAAATTATATTGGTTCTTAAAATTCTCTAAAATTCTGAATCTCAGCCCATTATTTAAAATTTAAAAATACATATGTGTATATATATTTTCATCAGCAAATTCCACAAATATTTATTTCCAAAGGACACTTCACTTAGCTTAAAAGTTACTAATCCATTTGAGGAGCAATATTAAATCAAGTCATAGTGCTATCAATCAATGTTTAAGGAAAACTTAAACCAATAATGAAAAAAGATTAAGTTTAGTTCTTTATTAAAAGTAAGTTGGCACAGACAATACAGCATCATAAAAACTCAATCACATATTAAGACAAATCAAATTGACAATAACCTCATGTCACATCATTTTATTTTTAAATTAGTCTAGTTATAACTTTCTAGAGGTACTAATTTTAAGTTAGTACAAATTTCAGTACTGCCTACAGATTTCTGTCAGTGTAAATTGTAACAGTCATGCATATTTATTAGGATGTAATTTCATCTCTGGATTTCAGTGACACTGATAAACCACTCAAGCTTCACTCTTGGTTTTTAATGACACCAGAACAAGTTGATGGAATTACAGCTTTACATGTGCCATTGAAAGTCTTATTTCTTATCATAGAATAATAAGGCTGGAATCTTTAAAGGGCATCATTCCTGCTATTTCACCATGGAAAGATGGATGACTTTTTAAAAAATCCCAGAACTCGTCTTTAGTAACCCATTTTAATGCTCCGATCACAGTCATCTCTAGTTATTTCTCTTTTCTCTCTCTCTCTCTCTCTCTCTCTCTCTCTCTCTCTCTCTCTCTCTCTGACACACACATATACACTCTCTGTCTCTCTCACTCTCCTTCCACTCCACTCTGCATCCCCTCACTCTCTCACCACTGTTTTACTGTAGATTAATTTCAGGAAAAAATTCACTTGCGGTCAAATACTTTTTGATGCTTTATAAATCCAAACACTTTACACACACACGAAGTTTAAAAAAAGCAAATTAAAATAATGGGAACCAATTTCCCCAACCCATTGGTATATACAAACTCCTTTTGCTTTCTACACAGGGAACATTTATCAATACTGGAAGTCTGCTGATATAAGGTACCAATCAAAGCAGAGTTGCACTAAACTCTCTAACTTACCTATCTTTTTACTTAAATTTTTTAAAATTTTTAAAAAGTTACAAGTCAAAAGAAAAATTGTACAGAAATATCAATTTTCAACCACTTGGTTAACTTAATTTCCTACAATGGCATTTAACCAAGTGGATGAAAATAAAGTTTCTTTCCTGAAATCCACCTCACTACAAGATGAGTTAACCTTGTCTGAAAGCAACCACCAAACCAAGTTCAGGAAAAGTGGGAAACAAAAGTAGCTCTTTTTGGTTTTATTTGGTTTTAAGATAATGATGAGACAAAACATAAAGGCAGTATTATGGTAACAAAAACATTAGGTAGTTGATATATTTACCTTGCATTCAATCTCTGCTTGTTTGCGCTTTGCTTCACTTAATTGAGTAAGTAGTCCTTTGTTCTGTGCAGAAAGATACTGCACCTTCTCATGTAGATTGATCACCTCTTGTTCTGCTCTTCGAAGATGGTTACTATTGATCTGATTCTAATAATTAAAAATACAAATACTCAGACTATAAAGACCTGAAAAAACTTATATATTTCTACCTCCCCATTTTAACATTATATAAAATGTTATTAGTTACAGATGAAGTTTTTTAATAGCTAAATACTAAAAATAAAATTATAAAAGTGCTTTAAAAATCAAGTCACCAAAAAGAATACTTAAGGTCCATATCAGAAACTTTTCCCACAGCTCAGTATTTTCATTTACACAATAAGTATCTACAACCTTTAAGAATGTGTACACATAACTTGAAGGTATTAAATTGTGACACAGGCAGTGTCACACAAATGAGTAGATACAGGAATATGATGAATTTAACTCCTCTTTCCAGTTCCTGAAAGAAAGTACAGACTGCAAAGCACCATCACCATTTACTGAACTCCAGAATCCTTCATGCCATGAAATGTGTCACGTGCACTTCTATATTCCTCCAATGTACAGCCCAGTCTTTTTACAGAGCATGGGCTGGTTTTGAATTCTGACTTGTTATTTGGTCATTAACTAAACTAGTTATAATATTTCTGAGTCTCTATTTCCTTATTTGAAAAATGTATATAAAAGTAAGACCTATTTTTCACTTAGTTGTCTTCAGTATTAAATGGAGATTACATGCAACAGACCTTAATATATAGTAAGAACTCAATAAATTCTAGCTGTTCATTATAATTACAGAACATGCTAAAAATTATGTAGACCTTAAGTTGACTGATATGAGGTAGTCTCCCTACTCAGGCTATATGTGGCCTGATTTCTCTCAACCCCAACATATTCTATTAGGGGTCTAAAAGAAGCAGTAGGGATTTTATAACCAAAGACATGAAAATCGGCTTCTCATTTTATAGTTTTTCACCCACAGTAAAGTTATCTAGTCCCATCCAATTTCAGCACACTGGTACAAGCATAGATACTACTACTCGAATTTAAAGTCCATGTTATATTTATCTCTCTAAAATAAATGTTAAAAAACTTAAAAGTCTATGTCGTAGGAATCGTGATAAAAGTTTATGAAAGGAGTCTCACACAATGCCTGAAATTTAAAATACTTAATAAATCCTTGGTTGTTACTGTTATTATACCTATTCTGTCTCACTCTATGAAAATGACTTTCCTGCAGTTTTAATAAAAAATCCACATCATCTAATAGATTTAAGCTCCAAAACTTTATACGACTTCTGGGTTTCTTCATCTTTACTAGGTTTACTCATCTTCCTAATTTACTATCTGTCTACAAAATAAAGAGTGAACTTCTTTAGTGGTCAAGTACTTAATACACATATATTCAAAATGTTCCACACCTCTTCTTATGGTCTTCCAACCTACCACTAAACAAATAACTACACTTGAGAGGGACATACCTTCAACATATGCTGCAAAGAATTCCCACAAATTAGAACTCCTCCCTGTACCATTCAATACAAGTCCATGACCCACCATCACAAAACTCACACATAAACAAAATGCTTAATTGCCAGTGAGTGAGAAACACTAGACAAAAAGGATAGCAAGGATAGGGTTTTTTTAAAACTCTAGATAATAAAATAATCATAAGGATTTTATATAAAATATTTTGTTTAAAAATTTTAGACATAAAAAGAGGAAGCAAAAACATAAGCAAAGAACTATCAAAAAACATTTCGCAAATGTGAAAAATAACTAAATACAATTTCTATAAGTTAACACTGTCAATCATATTAAAAATTAATTAAAGGGTTAAATAGGAGATTAGATACATTAAAGAAATACTGTCCCAGAAGAGGTCAAGACACATAGGAAAGAGTGAAGAGGTACAAAATACACTTAATAGGGGTTGCAAGATAAAACAGAAAACAAAAAGATTAGATATGATGGTCTAAGAGGCTACAACGGTTGAGAATTTTTTTACAACTGGAAGAAATATATATATATGAATCCATACTTCAAGAAGCACAACTAATTCCAAACAGGTAAATACAAATAAACTCTCAACAAGACACGTTTTAACAACAGAACGCTACAGAGAAGAGACAGGGGAACCTGGGGGGCTCAGCTGGTTAAGCAACTGACTCCTGATTTCAGCTCAGGTCATGATCTTGCAGTTCAAGGGGTTGAGCCCCATAGGGGGCTCCATGCTGGCAGTGCAAATCCTGCTTGGGATTTTCTTTTGCTCCCTGTCTCTGCCCCTCTCTTGCTCGAGAGTTCTCTTTCTCTCAAGATAAATAAACTTAAAAAAAAAAAAAGGAGAAGAGACAAATCAAGGGAAAACTATGAAAAGAGAAACTGAAATATCCAGCAGACATCTCAATAGGAAAAATCTGTAGTGCTTAAAAAAATAAATTTCTGGGGCGCCTCTCGCTCAGTCAGTTAAACGTCGGACTTCGGCTCAGGTCATGATCTCACGGTTTGTGGGTTCGGGCCCCACGTCAGGCTCTGTGCTGACAGCTAGCTCAGAGCCTTTTTCAGATTCTGTGTCTCCCTCTCTCTCTGACCCTCCCCTTCTCATGCTGTCTCTCTCTCAGAAATAAATAAAACATTAAAAAAAAAAATTTCCTTCTACAACAGTATATTCAGCTAAACTATCATATAAGAGTGTGAAAAAGTACACTTATTTTAAGAAAGTGAGAGTATACAATTCATGATTGAAACTGGAAAAATGGTAAATAAAAGTAAGAGAGAGCAAAAACTCAGCAAACAAGTAGACAAATCTAATTAAGCACTGACTCTATAGAACAATGTCTAATAATTTAGAGATACAAAAAAATACAATAGTAGTAACAGGTTGGAAATGGAAGAAGAGCATATAAAGATCTTTCTAAGGCCCTTACACAGTTTTGAAGGAAGATGGAGATAATTATCAACATTAAACTTTGTTTAGTCAGGTGAGCACTTTTTTTTTCAGGTAATAAATACTAATAGAAACAAAAGGAATTATAAAAGTCAAACTAGCAGAAGATAAAGAAACATAAAAAAGGGAAGAAATGAAGTAAATATATTCAAATTTATCATAATAAAGAGTTGTGATTTCTGATGAGGACATAGAATAGAAAGAGCATCGTTTCTACCCCTTCAATTAAAAAAAAAAAAAAAAAAAGCCAGCCGAATTCTAAATTAATGATGTTTGGTAAAACCAGAGAAATGAGGACACAGGACAACAAACTAGCCCCAAATCTAAGGACAGACGGGGCAGATGAAGCCAGAAGCTGTTAAGAATAATTTAGCCAGAATAAAATCAAATTGATACAGGCCAACTATTGGCTGGCTACAGAGTGTGAAGCCACAGTGCAGCCTAAGGCTGAGGCTTTATCAGAACAATGAGGAAAACGCTGGCCCTCTAACTTCCTCTAACAATTAAAAGTGGAATCCTGCTGGACAATGACTCTCTCTGAAGTGCTGGACACATGGAAGACCTAAAGATACTGAGAAAATCCTCTGGCAAACCAGACCCCAATCTATAAATAAGACAGTGTTAGAGGAATTTGAAGCCTGTGGTGCAATGAGGGTAACCACAGAAACAACAAACCTCAAACCCAGCCCAACTCCTGACTATATTAACTTAAATCCCCCACATTAAAGGCCTAGCAGAAGAAAAGGTATGCCCATTTCCAGGCAAAAAAAAACTACTTACCTTAGTCCACTGTCCTACACCAGACATTCAGTTTTCAACAAAAAATTAAAAAGCATAGGAAAAGGTAAGATAAAACACTACCAAGAAACAAAGCAATCAACAGAATTGGCCTCATAGATGACAAAGATATCAAAACTATCTGACAGGAATTTAAGATAACTGTAATTAACATGCTAAAGGCTCTAAGAGAAAGGTTAAAAACATTCAAGAGCACATTGATATCAGCAGAGAAATGAAAACTGTAAGAATCAAACAGAAATGCTAGAAATGAAAAACAGTAACAGATGTGAAGAATGCCTTCAATGGCTCATCGGACAACTCACAAAGTGGAAAAAAGAATCAGTGAACTTAACGATAAGTCAATAGAAACACTGAACACAACAGAAACTGAAACACAAAGAGAACAAATTCTGAGGGGAAAAAGAAAAGGATCCAAGAGTTACTATCAATATCAAATAATCTAATATATGTGTAATGGGAATCCCAGGGGGAGAAAAGAGTATGGAGCGGACAGAAGAAATATCTGAAATAAGAGTAACGAAGAATTTTCCAAATTTCATGGTAGACACAAATCCACATGTCCAAGAAACTCAGAAGAAAAACAAAACAAAAATATAGCAAGTCATTTCATATTCAGAGTGCTAAAAACAAAAGAGAAAATCTTTTTGTTTTAATGTTTTATTTATTTCTGATAAAGAAAGAGAGAGGCAGCGTGAGTAGGGGAGGGCTAGAGAGAGAGGAAGACACAGAATCCGAAGCAAGCTCCAGGCTCTGAGCTGTCAGCACAGAGCCCGACGTGGGGCTTGAACCCATGAACCGTGAGATCATGACCTGAGCTGAAGTTGGATGCTCAACCGACTGAGCCACCCAGGTGTCCTGAGAAAATCTTAACAAGTAACCAGAGGATAAAACATATTACATGCAGATAAACAAAAACAGAATTACAACAAGATTCTGGCTTACATGGTTACTGACAAGAAGAGTAACTTAAAGTGTTGAAGGAAAAACAACAACAGCAGCAGCAGCAACCCAGAATTCAATATCCAATTTAAAACTGGAGAAATACATTCCCAAAGAAACAAAACTAAAAATCTACTGCCAGCTGACCCTCAGAACAAGAAATGTTAAAGGAATTTCTTTAAGCAGAAGGAATATGACACCAGAGAGAAACATGGATCTGTATAAAAAAATAGAATGCTGAAATTGAATATTCAAGGGAAATAAACATCATTATAATTTTTTTTTAATTTCTCTGAAAGGTAACTGATTAAAGCAAGATAAGTAGCATATATGACACAATTGTTCTATATGTCATAGTAAAATATATGACAACAATAGCACAAAGGATGGGAGGAAGAACTGGGAATCTACTTGTAAG